CTCGATTGAGATTTGTGAGTGTCTAAACTCGGGGAGCGAGAGCGTGGCGGCTCGATGCGGTCGTAGTCTGCTGTCTGCTCTGTGTCGAAGCTGTAACGTCTTGGGTTGATTAGGACTGTACACGCCGAGTACTACATTGTTGACTGTGGAAATTGTAGTCTGGTACCAAAAGATGTAGGCAGTGTGTGGACAAGCTCGGTGTAGCAGGAGAGAAGAATGTGCATAATTGTTGCGTCCTTGGGTCGCTGGTGGAGCATTTAGATCCGGGGCGGATGGGCTCGGGCACCAGGACATTAGGAGGTAATGTAGGCACGTAGTTAGGACAACGAGGTAATCACTGCTAGAGCTGAATTGTCCTGGAGGCGACGAAGAGTCGGAAACGCAAGCTGTAAGTCTTGTACTGCGCAAAGTGCTTGAGTCGGCAGAGTATCAGAATGCAGTGAACGTGTAGATGAATCTGACGAAAGAGCAGCTTTCGTGGGCGCCCCTGTAGAACAAGCAGTGCCCTGGCAGCGACGGAGAGTCGGCAGGACAGGCGGTAGATCCCACATTATGTAGTTACTGATGAAGCTGCCAGATGAGTGAGTAGTGATCGTGGAGCAGCAAGCCGTAGTAGATGAAAATGCAGAGACGATCGCGATGAAAATCATAGCTATGGCAAGGGTGTTGGCAACGTTCCATGACAGGTGACTGCGGTCCACAGCAAGCAGCAGCAGTGGAGGTCCAGTGAGAGTCCATGTTGTAGTCAATCGTGGCTGGGTATCGTCGAAACTCTCTGGGGTCACCAATGTAACGGTTCTATTGTTACGTAAAGTATGGTGACAAATAAACACAGACACTAAGATACTATATATATATTTGGTCTAATATACAGAAGTACACCGGTGATACTTTGGTGTGAGTTGAGCGCACTGAGCGTCGGTACAGTATCTCGCAAGTGTCTGCTCTAGACCACACTTGAAAGTAGACTCTGGTTAATGTTTGCTATCCTGCTGCTTATATACCCGGGCAACTCCTCACCGTATTGCCCGGGCAACGCCTCACCTCATTCATCTCCAAAGATTGACAGGAATATTAACAATGCACTTGGAGCGAGTATATTATTGGATAATCTACTCGCTACATAGTACTCGGCATAGGCAGTTCTAATCGACCCAAGGCGCTACAGCTTCGACACAGAGCAGACAGCAGACTACGACCGCATCGAGCCGCCACGTACGCTCTCGCTCCCCGAGTTCAGACACTCACAATTCTCAATTGAGCCGCCACGCTCTCCCACATAGAGCTCCACGACTCCGGCCTCACTCAGCTCTCTGCTCTGCTCCAGGCTTCGTCTCAACGTCTACGAGATTGCTGTATCCAGGACTACTAAATAAACATGAAACTCACTAAACACTGTGTATCTAATCAACCCAACAACATAACATAATCGTACGTTACATAAGTATATTGTGTTTGGCTAGACAAGAGTAAAGCTGCTTGTAGATTAGTTTCTCAAATATTTTTGACAAGTTAGGCAGGATTGATATAGGTCAGTAGTTATTAACATCTGTGAGATCACCACACTTGTGGACAGGGGTTACTCTCCTACTACTTAAACCTACTTAAACTCTCGGCAATTCACAACTGTCGTCAAATGCAGAGAGGTGGTGGTACTGCTCTTTACTACCACCAAGAACTAACATGCTTAAAAATAATTAGAACTAGAGACTGCTGTGGGGAGTATATCTTCGCCAGTTTCAGAGTCAAGGGTGCCGAGTCTGTCCTGTCTGTGGGTGCAGTCTATAGAATTCCTAACACTGATGTGTCTGAATTCAACTCAAACCTTAGAAATCTAATACTAGATAACAGATTGAACAAAAACCATCTAATTATCGCAGGGGACTTTAATATTGACCTCTGCGAGCCTGAACACCCTACTGCTGTTAGCTTCCTCAACTGTATGAATTCCTGCTTCCTCATACCCTTAATCACTAGACCAACTAGAATCACTGATAGTACTGCTACGACTCTAGATCACATCTGGACCAACATAACCTCTCCGCTTACTTCAGGTATAATCACCGATAGCACTACAGACCATTACCCCACATTTCTCTTATCTAACATTAGCAAACCACCTCTAGAGACAAGGGAGTTAAGCTTTAGGCTGCACAATGAAACTGCTATAAACAATTTTATAACTGCTGCTGATAATGTCAACTGGGAGTCCGAGTTAGGTAACATAGGGGACATCAACCTAGCAGTGAAATCTTTTCTACAAACAACTCTTAGCCTTTATAACACCCACTGTCCTATGCTTACAAAACAAGTCACAAGCAAAAGACTTAACAATCCTTGGCTTACAAAGGGAATACTTAAATCCATTAACAAAAAACATGACCTTGAGAAGAAGTATAGGCTAGGAACAGTCTCCAAAGAATTCTCAAAGAATTACTCGTTATTGCTATCTAAAATAATTAGACGAGCCAAAACTAAATACTATGAAGATAAATTTACCCAAATAAAGAGCAACATTAAAAAAACTTGGAGCACAATTTCACAAATATTGGGATCAAAGAAGATTTTAAATAACAAACCAACACTCCTTTCCAATAACGTTGGTCAGCTTTCAGCCTCTGATTCTGCTATTGAGTTCAATAGGTTCTTCTCTTCCATTGGGTCATCCCTTGCAAATGATATTCCATCTTCCTGTACTGATGTTAAGGACTATCTTACAGGTAACTATCCACAGTCTCTGTACCTAAAGCCTACTAGTTCCACTGATGTCAATGAAATAATCCTTTCCCTTAAAACTAAGTCTAGTGCCCTCGAGGAGATACCAACTTTAATTTACAAAAAAGCCTCCAGATCTCTAGCCCCTGCTATTGCATTGCTCTTCAACAAGTCACTTGAACTCCAAACCTTTCCTGACATTCTAAAAAAAGCAAGAGTAACCCCTGTCTACAAATGTGGTGATCTCACTGATGTTAACAACTACAGACCTATATCAATCCTGCCTAACTTGTCAAAAATATTCGAAAAGCTAATCTACAAGCAGCTTTACTCTTTTCTAGCCAAACACAATATACTTAGCTCTTGTCAATATGGCTTCAGACCCAAAAAAAGCACTAACGATGCACTTATTAGTATGATTAACTTAATTCACGCAGCTCTTGATAAAAAGGAGTTTCCTGTTGGGTTATTTGTGGACCTGCGTAAGGCTTTTGACACTGTCAACCATCAAAACCTTCTTCTTAAATTACATCATTATGGAGTCAGAGGACACTCCCTGCAATACCTCAAATCTTATCTTACTGACAGGCTCCAGTATGTTTCTGTGAATAATACAATTTCTCCCACCCTACCCATCAACATTGGTGTTCCTCAGGGCAGCATACTTGGCCCTCTCCTCTTTCTCATCTACATTAATGACCTTCCAAATGCCTCCCAACACCTCAAACCAATTCTATTTGCTGACGACACAACCTTCATTTACTCCAGTCCTGACCCCCTTGCTCTAAATGCCACAGTAAATACTGAGCTAGAGAAAGTCCATCTTTGGCTAACTGCCAACAAACTCACCCTTAACATTGACAAAACGTTTTATATTCTGTTTGGCAATAAATCCTCTAATCAGATAAATCTCAAAATAAACAATACCCAAATTTGTAACAAATTAGATGGCAAATTCCTTGGCGTTCTCATCGACCACAAGCTGAATTTCCAGGGTCACATTCTAAATATATCAAAAAAAGTTTCAAAAACTGTTGGCATTCTTTCTAAGATCAGATATTATGTACCCCGCCCTGCCCTGGTTACTCTCTATTACTCCCTCATCTATCCATACCTCAACTATGGTATTTGTGCTTGGGGTTCTACTACCCAAAATCATTTACGTCCTCTTATTACCCAACACAAAGCTGCTATTAGGACAATATCCAACTCTGGCCCCAGACATCACTCGGTACCCTTACTCAAATCTCTGAATATGTTAGATATTAAGTCACTGCACATTCTCTCTTGTGTATTATACATATATAAAACGCTGAACTGTAATGCCAATCCTGACCTCAAAAGCTTCATTGAAGGTTGTAACAGAACCCATGAGCACCACACCAGGAATAAATACAGTTTTGATATTCCTAGAGTACGACTTAATCAAACTAGAAATGCTCTACAAATCAAGGGACCCAGAATGTGGAATGACCTTCCCAACCATGTTAAAGACTGTACCTCTCTCAACCAGTTTAAGATAAAAACTAAACACTACCTAATAAATTCCCTGTAACCCACCTCACTCCTTTATTGTCAACCCATGTCTGTTATTTTTTTATTATTATTTTTTTTTAATCAACACTGTTTGTCAACCTATTGTATTTGTGCTGCTTTTTCAGTCATGTTCCCCCTTTTTTTTATCTTTATTTGTATTTGTTTTCAACACTTTTTATTCTTTATGCTCAATTAGTATTAAGTTCTAGATATTAATGTTTTTCTTGCCCGAAACGCATTGCGTAATAGTGGCTTTAGGCATTGTATGTACTAGCTCTATCTATATATCAATCCATTAATGTAACATCACTTGTATGTATGTACCTTACCTGAATAAACATATTTATTTATTTATTTATTTACTTAACACCTACTTAAAATTCTCTTAGATTAAAGACCTGCCCGAAACGCTGCGCGTACTAGTGGCTTTACAAGATTGTAATTAATATCCTATGTATCCACACAATCCCAATGTACCTTCTTGTATATAAATATATAAAATTAAATAAAAATATTAAAAATAGAACAGCTGTGAACGCCAACTAGTGCACAAATACAGGAGCGCCCAAAATACTTTAACACAACACACATATACCGACATGCGTGTGGCTTCTGACGTTGTTTTTATTAAATAATATTACATATTAGGCGTTTAACTCTAATAAGTATTATTATATACAAGTATAACTACCACATAGTAAACGTAATAGTAGTTTAGCCCAAAACTGGCTACAGTTTTGTGCGTTCGATCATGTTTGTGGCCACTGGGATGTGTTGTGTTTACGCTGGCGGGCGACGTAAACAATTCTAAACGTCATTTAAAACTCCGCCTACTGTAAAGGAGGCTGTACGTGTCTGGACTGCACTATAACACTTCGGGGCCCTGATGCTTCACCTATTTAGCCATATCAGCGCTTTTAACCTCAACATGGAGTGTATCATAGACCGAGAAGACTGTTAACTGTGAGGAATGACTGGTCATGCAAGCTGAGGTAAGGTCGTGAGTAATGATGTGCGAAAAGCTATTTCAAGAGTGTTAAGTTTCTTAACCAACAGGTGCTGTTATTTTCGCCTAACAAGCTCATCAAGATTGTAACTTGCTTAGCTAAATGAATTGTGGGGTTCAGTCCCTGAGCCCATTATGTGGCTCTGTAACCCTGTCCAATACCGCCCACAAGATGGGTATGGGGTGCATAATAAATAAATTAGACTAACTGTGTAGCCGCTCTTGTTACTGTAGGGCTTTTTCAGCTCTGATATCCGGAGACTGATCAGTCTGTAGACCTCTGGCTATGGGTATTGTCACATCACATTGCTGTTTGGACAGAGTTCATTCAACAATTATTAAAATAGCATTTATAAATAAATATAAATATATATAATATATATATATATATATATATATATGTGTGTGTGTGTGTAATTACCTAAGTGTAATTACCTAAGTGTAGTTACAGGATGAGAGCTACGCTCGTGGTGTCCCGTCTTCCCAGCACTCTTTGTCATATAACGCTTTGTGTGTGTGTGTGTTGTACCTAGTAGCCAGAACGTCGTACTCGGCCTACTATGCAAGACCCAATTAGTCTATTAAGCCAAGTTTTCCTGATTTTATATATTTTTCTTTTTTTTCTTATGAAATGATAAACCTGCCCATTTCATTATGTATAAGTTAATTTGTTTAAATTTCAGTTAAAACTAATGTAGATATATGACCGAACCTAACCAACCCAACCTAACCTAACCTATCCTATCTAAACCTAAACTAACACAACTACATCAGTAATCTATGTTCTTAATATAATATAATGATAATTCAAATAAACTTATTGGAAACAATTTATTGAAAATAAAGAAAATCACTCGGCCTATTAGGCAAATCGGGCCTTGCATAGTAGGCCGAGAAGTGCGTTCTGGCTACTAGGTACAATATATATATATATGTCGTACCTAGTAGCCAGAACGCACATCTCAGCCTACTATGCAAGGCCCGATTTGCTTAATAAGCCAAGTTTTCATGAATTAATATATTTTCAATAATTTTTTTCTTATGAAATGATAAAGCTACCCATTTCATTATGTATGAGGTCAATTTTTTTTTATTGGAGTTAAAATTAACGTAGATATATGACCGAACCTAACCAACCCTACCTAACCTAACCTATCTTTATAGGTTAGGTTAGGTTAGGTAACAGAAAAAGTTAGGTTAGGTAGTCGAAAAACAATTAATTCATGAAAACTTGGCTTATTAGGCAAATCTGGCCTTGCATAGTAGGCTGAGAAGTGCGTTCTGGCTACTAGGTACGACATGTATATAATATATATATATATATATATATATATATATATATATATATATATATATATATATATATATATATATATAATATATATAATATATATATACAATTCATCACAGAAATCGTACATATAGGAAAAGCCCACAATCTTGCGCTGATCACAGATATATATATATATATATATATATATATATATATATATATATATATATATATATATATATATATATATATATATATATATATATATATATATATATAATATATATTTTTTTTGAGATATATACAAGAGTTCTTACTTTCTTGTACAGCCACTAGTACGCGTAGTGTTTCGGGCAAGTCCTTAATCCTATGGTCCCTGGAATACGACCCCAATGAAGAATCGTTTTTACAACCAAATACCCATTTTACTGTCAAGTTAAACAGAGGCTACAGTTAAGGATTTGTGCCCAGTAAATCCTCCCCGGCAAGGATACGAACCCAGGACAAAGAGCTCGCAGAATGCCAGGCGAGTGTCTTACCACTACACCACGGAGACTGGTGTAGAGGTAATATAAGATACGCTAATATAAGTAGATATAATATCGTACCTAGTAGCCAGAACTCGCTTCTCGATCTACTATGCAAGGCCCGATTTACCTAATAGGCCGAGTGATTTTCTTTATTTTCAAAATATTGTTTCCAATTAATTTATTTGAAATATTATTATTATATTATATTAGGAACATAAATTATTGACTTAGTTATGTTAGTTTAGGTTAAGATAGGTTAGGTAGGGTTGGTTAGGTTCAGTCATATATTTACGTTAGTTTTAACTCAAAATAAAAAGAACTTAACTCGTACATAATGAAATGGATAGCTTATCATTTCATAAGAAAACAAATCGAAAAATATAGAAATTAAGGAAAACTTGGCTTACAAGGCAAATCAGGCCTTGCATAGTAGGCCAAGTATTGCATTGTGGCTATATATATATATATATATATATATATATATATATATATATATATATATATATATATATATATATATATATATATATAAAATATACAGTGGAGCCTCGATTAACGAATTTAATCCTTTCTGGCACTGAGCTCGTTTTGTGGAAAACTCGTCTTTAGAAACTAATTTCCCCATTTAAAATAATGGAAATAAAATGATTCCGTTCCACCTCCCAAAATCATCAGTATGACATTTTATTATGTAAATATAATACTGCACATGTAATTATAAATGTTTTGTTTTATTGTTTTCAATTGTACATGTACTTTTCCTTATGAAGAGTCATTGCTGGCTTGAGGGAGACGATGAGGAGGTGGGAAGGAGGAGAGGGGTTATGGTGTGGAAGGAGAATCCACCTCTGAGTTAGGCGGGCTCTCTCTCTTCTTGAGAATTTCACCCCACTGGGACCGGGTTGTGGTTCACTATCACTTGCTCGTCTTTTCTCTACTTTTGCAAAGAACGTATCTATTGACGATTGCTTTTGTCTTCGTTTTAGGATGTCCCTAAAACGAGACAGCAAATTGTCATTAAACATGTTCACACACCGGGTTGTCACTGCTTTATCAGGGTGATGCTTTTCCAAGAATGTGGTCACCTTTTCAAACATTCCCAACACTTCCCTGAACTCACTGGAAGAGGCAGCAACCTTCCTTCCCTCCTTACTAATGGTGCAAATTGTTCATGAGGACCTACCATACTCCCTGGCAAGATCAGTCACACAGACACCACGCTCATGCTTTGCTATAATTTCCTTCAAATCCACAGTAATTGTCTTTCTTCCTCTTGACAACACTATCTTTTGCAAGCAGCTTCTTTGGCAACATCGTGGGTTATAAATTGTAGTCACAAAACCACAAAAAACACCAAAGAAAAGCGCAAATAAATGCAGAGGGATGCTTGTCGTGCGCGATACAACAAAAACACTAGCGTTGGAGGCGTCTGAGAATTTGCGAAAACCAGCGAGACGCTAGGAAGCACCATGTGGTTTCACTCATTAATAGAGCGGAAGCTCATCAAAAGAGTCAACTTTGCTGCGAGTGGCTCGCTCGTTACTCGAAATGCTCGTAGATAGAGCCGCTCGTTACTCGAGGTTCCACTGTATATACATTCATATACAGAGCACCACTTGGTTTCCGAACTTTAGTTATCCGAAACTTCCAGTTTCCCGATTGGGGTTGGGGAATCATGCTACACGAACAAAGTTCGGGTAGGAAGCGGTCCGCCATGCGTTGCGCCGGCCCGTGGTGATGGGTGGGAGATAGTCCAGTTTGCCCACTGCCCGTGTTGGGCGCCACTACTCTAGAGTGTCTTCTACCCTGTGATTTCACAGATTCACGGCCTATTATTCCTGTTATTTTGATTTGTCATGAGGCTGGAGAGTTCATTCTGTGATTTTGTTTTACATATTTGCACAATCAAGAAACATCTGTGCACCATGTTGGCTCCAAATGCACGCATTGCGTCAGTGATTGCTGACTGGTGGGTGGATGGATGGGAGCTTAGGTGGGAGGCAGTATGAGAGAGAGGGGGAAGAATTAGAGAGAGAGAGGGAGAATTAGTGAGAAAGGGAGGTGAAGGTAGGCAGGAAGGAAGTAGTGAGGGGGGATGGAAGAATTAGGGAGGGAAAGGCAGGCAGAGAGGCAGGCAGGCAGAGAGGCAGGCAGGCAGAGAGGCAGGCAGGCAGAGAGGCAGGCAAGCAGAGAGGCAGGCAGGCAGAGGCAGGCAGGCAGAGGGGGGAGAGGCAGTGAGGGGAAGAGGCAGTGAGGGGAAGAGGCAGTGTGGGGGGAGAGGCAGTGTGGGGGGAGAGGCAGTGAGGGGGGGAGGCAGTGAGGGGGAGATGCAGTGAGAGATAGAAGCAGTGAGGGAGGGAAGGGTGGGGGTGAGTGAACGCAATTACACAATAAACTTTATTTCATTTGTTGCATTTATGCTATGAATCTGTTGATTTTTTCCCTTAGAATTTTTTGTTAAATTTAAAAAAAAAAATTCTCTGTCCATTTTCCTCCATTCTCGTTTACGAACTTACACGATAACCGACGGGTCTCGTCCCCAAGGGGTTCGGAAACCAAATGGTGCTCTGTACACATACATATATATATACATTCATATATGCATTAGGTCAGGTGATAATACAATGAAGGTGAAAACATGGGGGGATACATAAGGGATAAACATAGGGGCTGCAGAAGGCTTATTGGCCCATACGAGGCATCTCCTATCTAAACACAAAGATTAATCCAGTGTAATTGGCCTGTTATGTTGGACATTGTCTTCTGTGTTGGCATCGATATGTTCTTGTCTTGTCCTTACTCTCATGGTGGGTAGAGTAAATAGTTCCGTGATTTGGGTGTTCATGGTAGGTCGCTCTATTCTTAGAGCGACCCATGAACACCCAAACCACGGAACTATTTACTCTACCCACCATGAGAGTAAGGACAAGACAAGAACATATCGAAGCCAACACAGAAGACAATGTCCAACATAACAGGCCAATTACACTGGATTAATCTTTGTGTTTAGATAGGAGATGCCTCGTATGGGCCAATAAGCCTTCTGCAGCCCCTATGTTTATCCCTTATGTATCCCCCCATGTTTTCACCTTCATTGTATTATCACCTGACCTAATGCGGGTATAAAATCAACTAGTATTCATATATGCATACATATATGCATTTCTTATATACATCAATAAT